CCCGACAAAATCCCAAGTGGTTACAAAATCGCGTTTCCCTCAACACCTCCGTGAATCTCCCTCTCCCTCCCTCTTCTTCCCTCCCTCCCCTCTTCCCTCCCTCCCTCCCTTCCCCTCACCCGCAACGGCTATTATCTTTTTTCTCACCTTGCCTTATCTCCCTTCTTTCTTCCCTGGCTTCTTCCTCCTTTTCTTCCTCTCTCCTTCCTTCTATTCCTCAATGTTTTCGTCCTTCCTTCTCTCTCTCTCTCTCTTCCTTCTTCCTTTGTGTCACTGCCTTCCTTTTCTCCTCTCTCCCTCCCCATGTCTTCTTACCTCCCTCATTCTCTTCTCTCCTCTCCTCTCCTTCCCTCCCTCTCTCTCTCCCTCCCTCCCTCCTTCTTTCCTTCCCTCCTTCCCCTCTTCTTCCTTTCCTTCCATCTTTCTCGTCTTCGGAGAGGGGAAACGGAAGAGAGAGGGGAGAGAAGAGAGGGGAGAGGCAGAGAGGATAGATGAGAGTGGAGGGGAGAGCAGGAGAGGAATAGAGGGGAGAGAAAAAGAGAGAGGGAGAGGAAGAGAGAAGAGGAGAGGAGAGAAGCGAGAGGAAGAGAGGGGAGAGGGGAGAAGAACGGAGGAGAGGGGAGAAGAACGGAGGAGAGGGGAGAATAGAGAGTAGGAGAGGGGGAGAAGGAAAGGAGGAGAGGGGATAAGAGACAGTAGGAGAGGGGAGAGAGAGTAGGGAGAGGGAAAGAGAGAGTAGGAGAAGGGAAAGAGGGAGTAGGAGAGGGAGAGAGAGTAGGAGAGAGAAGAAAGAAGAAGAGGAGAGGGGAGAAGAAAGGAGAAGAGAGGATAAGAGACAGTAGGAGAGGGGAGAAGAAAGAGTAGGAGAGGGGAGAAGAAAGGAGGAGAGGGGAAAAGAGAGAGAAGAAGAGAGATCTCCCGCTGGCGAAGCTCCCGCTGGGCTCATTATCGGCTTATGAGCTCACGTGTGTCACAGGGAGTGTGAAGTAGGTAGCGTGCGTGGTTAGATAATGCATTTTTTTCTTTTATCTTTGGTGTTTGTGTAAGGCAGCCTGTTGTGTGTGTGTGTGTGTGTGTGTGTGTGTGTGTGGTGGTGTGTGTGTGTGTGTGTGTGTGTGTGTGTGTGTGTGTATGTGTGTGTGTGTGTGTGTTTTTGTGTGTGTATGTGTGTGTGTAAACTGTGTACTGTGTATGAGAATCCCTGTATGTACGTTAAGTATTCACAACGTACGTGCGTGACCGTGAATGTATATCTGCGCACGCCGTATCCATGTGCGTGAATGCGCGAGTGTGTATGTGCGCACATCGTATCTATGTGAGTGCGTGAAGATGTAAGTGCGTGTGTTGACAACCCTCGCCGCAAGTGTCCCCTCTTACCTCCCAGGGCTGCCAACCCTCCCGAACCTCCCCGATGCTTAGTGCCCTCAAATGCTTTTCGATAAATACGATAAGACAGACACGAGATCGGGAAAGCCAGAGATACTTAGAGGAAGCAGAAAGGTCCCGATGAGGTGGATAGAGCATACCCGGGAGGCTTACCCTTAAGGGGGCGCAGGGGGGCAGCGGGGCAGGCAGGGCGGGGAGGCGGGGGCTCGCGCGGCATGTGGCATCCCTGTTGATGACTTCCCCAGGAGCAGTTCGGAGGAAGAGAAGAGGAGGAGGGGAAATGCGGAGACTGGAGGAGAGAGAGAGAGAGAGAGAGAATGACGAGAGAGAGAGTGAGAGGAGAGTGGAGAGGAGAGAGCACGCCGCGCGGTAGAGCTTGGCCGCACGCACGCGGGGCGAGAGAGAAGCCGGGCGCAGGCCCAAACCAGGCTGCGATGCAACCGCACGCACCCACCGCCCGCGCAAGGAAGGCCCCCGCCCGGCCCACGAGGCGAGCTCGCCACATGCAGCCTTGGCCGAGGTGGATTCCCCCTACATTTCGGCGCGCCCTCAAGCCGCAAGCACGCACCGCGGGCAGGGGCCGCTCGGCCCCCGGGGCCACGGAAGGCAGCCCCTACGAGCAGGCCCCGCGAGAAGCCAAGCCAACGAGCCAGCCCCTGCCCGAGGAAAACGCGAGGCAGACGGGCAGACCGACAGGCA